GAAAAAAAAAAAAAAAAAAAAAAAAAAAAACTTGTGGATGAAAAAGTTATTGATAGATTATTTACATAAAAAATTATTTATAAAAAATTTATATTTTATATTTGCTGTATATATATATAAGTATTCCATTACACATCATTATATTCTCCTATTTTTTTACTTTTTTCTTATTAATGTTTTATTTTGTTTACGCTTTTATTTTAAACTTTTTTGTTTTTTTCTTTTGATAAATTGTATTTTAAGAGAAATTTAAAATAAATTCTTCGATAATTTAGCTTCAATTTTTTTTATTTATTGAAACTCCAATATTAAATTAAATTAATGTTTTTTATCATTTTATGTGATTTCTTCTACAATTCATAAGTTTTTGTTAAATTTTTTGAAAATAAAAATTAAAAAATTTCTGCTTAAATAATTATTAAAAAAAAAATACATTTTTTATAAAAAAGTAAAAATATAAGAAAATTAAAAAAATAAAAAAATTAGGTAGTTAAAATTATAAAATAAACATTGTCCTTGCAATTACGTTTATATGTGTAAATTGAAAAAAAAAAATTTTTTTGAAATAGGTAAATATATGTAAAACATTTTAATTTATAATTTCACTGAGTAATTTATAAATAAAAAAAAAATATATATATACATATATATATATCTCAAAATATGTAAAAAATATATAAAACATTAATTTTAATAATTAGACAAGGAATATTATATGGAAGTAATAAATTTTACTGAAAATAAAGATACTAATGGAGTTATCATAAAGAATTTAATTGACATTATAAATTTAGCAATAAATTAAAATAAAATATAAAAAGAAAAAAGTTGTATATATTTACATAAATAATATATATCTATGTTTAAAAAAATAATCTCTATTAATATATTTTTTTTACTTTAAATATTTTATTTAAAATAAATGAAAACATATCAAATACATTAAAAAAAATAGTATAACAAATTAAAATTAAAATTTTTTTTTTTTTTTTTTTGGTTTTATTTTATTTTACTATATTTTACTTTTTTTTCTGTAATTCTTCTTTTAGTAAATTCTATATATATATTAATCAAACAGTTCCTTTATAAAAGAAAATTAATGTAACTATTATTATTAATACATTAACAAGTTTTACGTATATTATTAGTAAAATTTAGTAGAAATTAATGAAATTTTAGTTTTTGAGTTTTATTAAATATTTTTGTTGAATAAAGTTCAATTAGCCACCTTAAAGCTCCATGTACACATAATCCCAATAATGCATCATTGTAAACTTTTAAGCCATAATATATTGGTAATATTAAACAAACAATATAAAATAGATAATTTTGAATTATTTGTTTTGTTATACATAGAAGGTTAAAATTGTCATTAATATTTGATTGATCTGTTTTCATATTTTCTAAATTTACGGAAATATTTTCAATTGGGGATTTCCATATTATATATGATATTATAGATGAACTGTAAATGTCTTTTACTGATGTGTAAAAAGTATATAATGGTTTTTTTTTTTTTTTCAAATCATCTTTTGTTAGTGGTTTATCAGAAGAAGTATCATTCAGTTCATTATTATTTACTCTTTTATTAGGAGTGTCTGTGATTGAATCATTCGCAATTTTTTTAATTTTTTCTGAATATAAATTAACAAAAAGAAATATATTATCATGAGCATAAGTAGCCAAACCGTTAAAACATAATAAACAAGTTTTAATCATATTAATAGTAATTTTTTTTAAAAGAGCCATATTTGAATAATATTTTTTTTTGTATTTATTGAAGAGATCTGTTTCCTCAATTAAATTTTTTTCTGATATTTTATTTTTTATATTTTGATAATAATGCTTATTAATATAGAAAGAAAAATTTAATAAGGTCAAAGTGAAAACGCATCCAACTGATACTTCAAGAAATAATCTCAAAATATCTTTGCTCTTACATATCATAATAAATCCAATAATTCCTAATATATGAATACTTATTAGATAGGTGGCAACATTACTTTTTATATTTCTATAATAACTATTAAAATAAAAATTTAAAAACAAAAATGCGTAAGTTAAATATAAAGTAAAGCTTGCAATGGCATTATTTACATAAACTTGATTATCCACGTGTTTTATAGCATAATATGATATAAAAATTCCTACAAACATTTGAAATATTTGTAAACACGTAATAAACTTTCTCATTTTAATAACGATTTTTGGTAAAATATATATAAAACCAAAATAAAAATACATAATCGAGTGAACAATCAAATTAAAAAAAACAAAATAGTGTGCATGGGAAACTAACTCTTTTTGTGAATATAAGCAATAAATAACAACACTAAAATGGTGGTAGCTATGTAAAAATGTTAATTTTTTTTTTTTTAAAATTAAAAATAATGTATCTCCATATTCCACAAATTTTGTTAACGTAAATATACATATAACTGCTCTTGTTTCTGGGCTATATTCAGTTTCTTCAATAATTAAAGATTTTAAAATATTTTTATCATAAATTATTATAAGTAAAGCACCAATAAAGGATAAAAAAGATAAGCTTAAATTCCATATAATTTTATAAACTTTTGCTTCTATTTCTTTTCTTTTTTTCATAAATCTTTGCAATATAAATATTGAAGGAATATATAAGAATGATATTAGTAAAATTAACTTCTCATATTTTAAAGCAAGTTCTCTTCCCTTTTTAGGTGTCCAGTACTGTTCATTTACAATACTCATTTTATTATCTTATTTTTATTTTTAAATATTTATTTATTCGTTAAAAACTTTTTTTTTTTTTTTTTTTTTAATAAATATAAAATATATGCTTAAATACTTGTATTCATATATTATGTAAAATGTTTATGTATTCATTTATTATTAAACCCATGAAAATTTGATATCCTTAAATTAGAATATTAAATGAGATTATTATATTTTTGGTGTGCGAATATAATATATACAATGTACATATATTCTGTTATTTCTTGAATTTTTAATTTTAAACATGCAACAAATTTCAGAATTTATATTATTGAAATGTTTCTATTATTTTATTTATTTAACAATATATATATATATATGTAAATAAATTAAATGATTTTTTTAGTTTTCTTTTTTATAAAATAGGAAAGTTACTTATGATATTTATATTTTATATAATTTATTTAGATTAAAAAATCTATTAAATCTTTAATAAATCTTTATTCCTTTGAAACTTTTCAGAAAAAACATTTATAATTAAAAAAATCTATGAATATAAATGATCAAAAATTTTTTACATTTTAAAAATAAATAAATATTAAAAATTTATTCACATTCAATATTTCTTTTCAAATGTAAAAACCTATCATTGAAATTTTATAAGCTATTCGAATTAATAAAACTCTCTTTACAATCGAATATATTATGTTATTTTTATAGTTTTCTGAATTTTTTTTTTTTTTGAAATTTTTATTTTTTTTATAAAAATTATGTATATTTTTCCAACATAAATTATCTTTAAAATGATATTTTTTATAATTTTTACAATTTTTATCAATTTTCGATAGGATATCAAAAAAAAAAAAAAAAAAAATATATTAAATATAAATATAAGGTAATATCATTCTATTTTTTTCTTACATTAATTTTTATCTAAAAAAGTATACATAAAAAGTTACACTAAAAAAAAAAAAAAAAAAAAAAAAAAAAAAGATATAAAAACAATGTTATTCTTAAAGTTATATTAGGAGAAATTAAAAAGAAATTGCAATAGCTTATTTTGTATAAAAGATAATTGTAAAATATTGTGTATTTTTTTAGGAAATATAAATAAGCATCTAAACATAACGATTTTATTTTCCTATTATTTCCTACTTTTTTTTTTTTTAAAACATATTTATAGTATTTAGTAATAATTATGCAAAAATTTTAAAAGTTCACTTTGCGTAAAAAGTATGTGAATTCATATTTACTTTAAAAAATAAAAACAATTATATTGGAAATATTGAACAATACTAGAATATAATTCTTTGAACAAGATATTAAATAATAAATTGTTCTAATATTTAAGGTATATCTTTCTTTATATATACAGAATTTCATAAAAAAAGAAATAATTTATAATAATTAATAACATAAAAATATAAAAAAAAAAATTTAGTATTTACATAAAAGATTCATTATTTTCCAATAATTTCAAATTAAAAAAAATTATTTATAAAAATATCAATATATTTCTTATGAAATAACTTTAGACAAATAAAAAAAAAAGTAATAATTAAAAAAAAAAAAAAAAAAAAAATATTCTTTTTATATAAAATAAACTTTTATTATAAAATGAAGTGCTTATATACAATTTCTTCACAAATGTGTCTTTTTTTTTTTTTTTTTTTCACAATTAGCATTTTTGAATCAGTAACTGAAAAAAAATTATATAAGTTTTATATTTAAAATAATTAACAAAAAATATAACTATTTTTGAATGGAAATTATTGTATTTTTGTTTCTCTTTGTACTTTTATTTATGCGTTATTTTTAATATTACTACAAAAATAATTTTTTTAATTTTTTTTTAAACCATATTTTTTTTTAGAAGTAAACAATTTTTATCTTAATTTATATAATTTATACTTGTGCATATGTGTATTAAGATTTTTTTCTTTATCATGCTAAAAAAAAAAAATAAAAACTAAAAACTAAAAATATTAAGTAATATGAAATTATGTTAATTGTTCCTAAAAAGAATAATTATCTTTTTTTTTTTTTTTTTTTTTATATATATATATATATTTTCCTTTTTTATTAAAATAAAATAGTTTTCAAAAAAAAAGAAATAATAGCATAAAATTTTTGTTTTTCTCTTGTATTTTTTAAACAGTCAGTTAAACAAAAAATATAATTATTTAACTTTTTTTTTTATATCGTACATAGTTTTAACATTAAAACACACTTGAACAAATCTTTATAATAAATTTGTTAATACATTAAATTTTTGTATATTTGTACCATAATATTTTTATTAAATTCTTTATTTTTTTTTTTTTTTATAATGTATTGCTTTGTTTAGTATATTTTACATATATTTCTTTTTTTCATATTTAAAGAGATAAATATTATTTTATTTTTT